AGACAGACAGACAGACAGACAGACACAGACACTGAGGGAGAGAGAGACAGAGAAAAAAATATATTATATATACAAAGAGAGAGAAAGATCGAGATAGAGAGAGAGACAGAGAAAGACAGAGACAGAGAGAGACAGAGACAGAGACAAACACAAGATACATACACACTCCAACAAAATCAAACGCATCTCAAACCCAATAGGTCATGAACGTACTTTACTCACGTACTTTATTATTTTTTTAAAAGTTTTGCTACCTGTTCCTGAAAAAGAAAAAAGCAAACGAACAGACATCGTTAACCTTTTTTTAATGTTTGTTTAGATTTACTTTTTTGTATTTTTGTACTTTAAGGAGAGAGAAGGGGTTTGAGGAGGGGGGGGGTGATGGAGGGACATTTAAGTCTGTTTCACTGTCTGTAACATCCAAAAAATAGAAGCGGTCACGAGCTATGCAGTCGTTAACCACTGAACGTGCCAGGGATCACTTTGGAGTGAGTGTCAAGTAGAAACGACGGTTTCAAGGACATATTGTCGCTTATAAGGACAAGCGGGCTAACCCAGATTTTTTGGGTTCCCAGAAATCTTGACCTACACCAAAAGTGGGCATTGGCCTTCCTATAGGAGAAGTTTGGTTTCATTCGCGAGTGTATATTTTTGTTTGGTAATAGAGAAAACTCTCCTTGTCTTTTAACGACTCTGAACAAGGGGCAAATTCTTTACCTTCGATTTACTCAAAACCACATTTTTCAGGATAGCCCCCTTGTGCTTAAAAGCGACCATATATGACACGGCTGGGTGGAATCAGGCGCTCTTCAATTTTTAGGCCTGTAGAATTACTGATATCATCTTAAAGCTTGTTCATTTGTGTACTTTCTGATAAAACAAAAACCTATCTATCATGAATAGAAGACGAGATATTTATGATTGAAGGAGGTGGGGGTTCCCTTGTTTCAGAGGTATAATGAATTAACGAGAAAATTGCCGCCAAAGTTTGGTGATTTCCATAGCTTGAGAGACCTTGGACACTGACAATTTACAATTTGTGTGCCTTCAGTCAACGATTTTCAGAAAAATTAACAAAGAAATGTGTTTTTAAATAGACTTGTAAGGTGTTGAGACAAATAAAACAACAACAAGAAAATTCGAACGAAAAGTCAAAAGCAAGACAAATGCAGCTTTCTTTTCACCACGATACCTCACATAACACCTAACTATAAACTTCATGCCCAATCCTTCTCAAGCTCCTTGTGACAAAGTTCACTTCTCCTGGAAACGTCTTTTCTTTACCTGGCAGGATTTCTGTCTACTACCCCAACCCTTCCTTCTTGTTTGTTCTCTCTCTCTCTCTGTCTCTGTCTCTGTCTCTCTCTCTCTGTCTGTCTCTCTCTCTCTCTCTCT